GCTATCCTCTTACGCTGTTTGTTGAATGGTCTTATCATGTGTCTCTCCCTCATTTACTCCTGACTCTTGCTATATTTGGGTTAACGTTTCAGAATGTCTTTTCTTCTTGTATTCCTGCTGCTCATGCCGTATAGAGTAGCAGAGAAAAATTGTATGTAGTTTCTTGTCATTTTACTTGTTGCTTAAAGTTAGTTGCGTATTCTTTACAGGACGCTGTAGAGCCAACTCCAGCATTTTTTTTGGCTGTTGTTGTTTTTACGTTCAGTAGTTTGCCATTGCCACTGAACGGTCACCTCTCGGTCCCACTGACGAAACCATAGATATGTAAATACTAGTGTAAGAATAGCTGGATGACATTAAGCCCTAGAACTTGTAGATACTGACTCACGGCTAGCTTGATGACGCAAAGACCTCAGAACTTGTAGATACTGACTCACGGCTAGCTTGATGACGCAAAGACCTCAGAACTTGTAGATACTGATGCCTGACTAGCTGGATGGATGACACCATACCCCTAGAACTTGCGAATACTGACATTCGACTAGCTGGATGACACCATATTCCCAGAGCTGGAAGATACTGACACACAACTAATGGATGAAACCGTGTCCTCAGAACTTATGGATATTGACACACAACTAACTGGATGATACCTTGTCCCCAGAACTTATGGATAACGACACACAACTTGTTGAACAACACCATACCTCTAGAATTTGTGGATACTAACTTACTAATTTCTGGATGAAACTATGTTCCCAAAACTTGTGGATACTGACACGCGACTAACTGGATGACACCTACCTCTAGAACTTGTTGATACTGACACACGACTAGCTGGCTGACACCATACCCCAAGAAATTGTAGATACTGACACACGACTAGCTGGCTGACACCATACCCCTACAAATTGTAGATACTGACACATGACTAGCTGGCTGACACCATACCCCTACAAATTGTAGATACTGACACATGACTAGCTGGCTGACACCATACCCCTACAAATTGTAGATACTGACACATGACTAGCTGGCTGACACCATACCCCTACAAATTGTAGATACTAACACATGACTAGCTGGCTGACACCATACCACTAGAACTTGTTTATATTGACACATGACTAGCTGGCTGACACCATACCACTACAAATTGTAGATACTGACACATGACTAGCTGGCTGACACCATACCCCTACAAATTGTAGATACTGACACATGACTAGCTGGTTGACACCATACCCCTACAAATTGTAGATACTGACACATGACTAGCTGGCTGACACCATACCACTAGAACTTGTTTATATTGACACATGACTAGCTGGCTGACACCATACCACTAGAACTTGTTTATATTGACACATGACTAGCTGGCTGACACCATACCCCTACAAATTGTAGATACTGACACATGACTAGCTGGCTGACACCATACCCCTACAAATTGTAGATACTGACACATGACTAGCTGGCTGACACCATACCCCTACAAATTGTAGATACTGACACATGACTAGCTGGCTGACACCATACCCCTACAAATTGTAGATACTGACACGTGACTAGCTGGCTGACACCATACCCCTACAAATTGTAGATACTGACACATGACAAGCTGGCTGACACCATACCCCTACAAATTGTAGATACTAACACATGACTAGCTGGCTGACACCATACCACTAGAACTTGTTTATATTGACACATGACTAGCTGGCTGACACCATACCCCTACAAATTGTAGATACTGACACATGACTAGCTGGCTGACACCATACCACTAGAACTTGTTTATATTGACACATGACTAGCTGGCTGACACCATACCACTAGAACTTGTTTATATTGACACATGACTAGCTGGCTGACACCATACCCCTACAAATTGTAGATACTGACACATGACTAGCTGGCTGACACCATACTCCTACAAATTGTAGATACTGACACATGACCAGCTGGCTGACACCATACCCCTACAAATTGTAGATACTAACACATGACTAGCTGGCTGACACCTTACCCCTACAAATTGTAGATACTGACACATGACTAGCTGGCTGACACCATACCACTAGAACTTGTTTATATTGACACATGACTAGCTGGCTGACACCATACCACTAGAACTTGTTTATACTGACACATGACTAGCTGGCTGACATCATGTCCCCAGAATATATGGATAATGACACAAAAATATCTGGATGACATCATGTCCTCAGAACTTGTGGATACTGACACAGAACTAGCTAGCCATATGTCACTCTGGTTGGCAGATGAGCGCTTAATTTGCTACCGCAGCGATGTTAAATCACCATATTCTTTGTACCTGTTGTTGCAATTACCATAAAGTCTTGTCCGATTGATTGTCCGATAAGTGCAGCAGTAGATGTCCGAGGCTCGAAAGTCATGACCCAGGTCGCCCTACGCCTCCTCACCCTTCCTTTTCCGAGATTGTCTCGGGAGGTACACAGGCCGACTAAAACAAGTTGTTGAAAGAGGGACACCTACTGAATATCGCTAGACTCCTGCTTTGCATGCTCCTGTCAGGGATTTCTTATTATATTCTCTTTATGTTATCACTGATTATTTCATGTCCTCATGTTATCACTGCATGTACCATGTCCTTGTGTTATCACTGCATGTACCATGTCCTCATGTTATCACTGTATGTACCATGTCCTCATGTTATCACTGCAAGTACCATGTCTTCATGTTATCCCTGTTTGTACCATGTCCTCATGTTATCACCGTATGTACCATGTCCTCATGTTATCCCTGTTTGTACCATGTCCTCATGTTTTTCGTGTGTATTATGTCCTCATGTTAGCCCTCTGTGTACTATGACCTCATGTTATCCCTATGTGTACTATGTCCTCATTTTATCCCTGTGTGTACTATGTCCCCATGTTATCCTTGTGTGGGCTATGTTCTTATGTTATCCTTGTGTGTACTATGTTCTCATGGTATCCCTGTATGTACTATGTTCTCATGGTATCCCTGTATGTACTATGTTCTCATGGTATCCCTGTATGTACTATGTTCTCATGTTATCCCTGTGTACTATGTTCTCATGGTATCCCTGTGTGTACTATGTTCTCATGGTATCCCTGTGTGTACTATATCCTCATGTTATCCCTGTGTGGGCTATGTTTTTATGTTATCCTTGTGTGTACTATGTTCTCATGTTATCCCTGTGTGTACTATATCCTCATGTTATCCCTGTGTACTATATCCTCATGTTATCCCTGTGTGTACTATATCCTCATGTTATCCCTGTGTGGGCTATGTCCTCATGTTATCCCTGTGTGTACTATGTCCTCATGTTATCCCTGTGTGTACTATATCCTCATGTTATCCCTGTGTGTACTATGTCCTCATGTTATCCCTGTGTACTATGTCCTCATGTTATCCCTGTGTACTATATCCTCATGTTATCCCTGTGTGGGCTATATCCTCATGTTATCCCTGTGTGGGCTATGTCCTCATGTTGTTCCTGTGTGTACTATGTCCTCATGTTATTCCTGTGTGTACTATGTCCTCATGTTATCCCTGTGTGTACTATGTCCTCATGTTATCCCTGTGTGTACTATGTCCTCATGTTTTTCCTGTGTGTACTATGTCCTCATGTTATCCTTGTATGTACTATGTCCTCATGTTGTTCCTGTGTGTACTATGTCCTCATGTTATTCCTGTGTGTACTATGTCCTCATGTTATCCCTGTGTGTACTATGTCCTCATGTTATCCCTGTGTGTACTATGTTCTCATGGTATCCCTGTGTGTACTATGTCCTCATGTTATCCCTGTGTGTACTATGTTCTCATGTTATCCCTGTGTGTACTATGTCCTCATGTTATCCCTGTGTGTACTATGTTCTCATGTTATCCCTGTGTGTACTATGTTCTCATGTTATCCCTGTGTGTACTATGTTCTCATGTTATCCCTGTGTGTACTATGTCCTCATGTTATCCCTGTGTGTACTATGTTCTCATGGTATCCCTGTGTGTACTATGTCCTCATGTTATCCCCGTATGTCCTCTGCAGCACGCGGGAGAGATAGCCACAATGTCCATCGACCTGCTGGCCGCCATCAAACAGATCAAAGCCCCAAATATGGAGAGCGGCACTTTGAAGATTAGGATCGGCATTCATACAGGTAGGAATTTGAGCCCACTACCCCACATTGTTACCGATTGTAGTAAACGTTGGAGACCGCTTGTTTAGTCTAACACTATTTCACATCTTCACATATTAAAACACTATCACAGGTTCTAGTTCACACCATCACATATTCTAGTTTACAATTTTACAGACTGTAGTTCAGAATTTCACATATTGTAGTCAACGCTATAACATCTCTAGTTCACATGACCACATATTCTTGTTCACACTGATATAAATTTGTGTTCACACTATCACATCACTTGTTTACAGCATTACAGATTGTAGTTTGCAGTAACTAACCATTACTTCACATTACTTGTTCCCGCCATCGCAGTGTGTAGTTCCCAGTATCTCACGGTTAGCTCATACTATCACATCACTACCCCACACTGTTACAGAATGTAGTTTACATGATTAGAGATTTCACATTTCTACTGTTTTAGATGGTTCCGACATCATGACTTATTATCAGGCACGATCCCGACAGCGTGATTTATTGTCACTGACAATCCCGACAGCGTGATTCATTGTCACGGGCAATCCCGACAGCGTGATTTATTGTCACTGGCAATCCCGACAGCGTGATTTATTGTCACTGACAATCCCGACAGCGTGATTTATTGTCACGGGCAATCCCGACAGCGTGATTCATTGTCACTGGCAATCCCGACAGCGTGATTTATTGTCACTGGCAATCCCGACAGCGTGATTTATTGTCACTGACAATCCAGACAGCGCGATTTATTGTCACGGGCAATCCCGACAGCGTGATTTATTGTCACTGACAATCCCGATAGCGTGTTTTTTGTAATGAACAATCCTGACACCGTGATTTATTGTCACTGACAATCCTGACACCGTGATTTATTTTCACTGACAATCCTGACAGCGTGATTTATTGTCACTGATAATCCCGACAGTGTGATTTATTGTCACTGAAAATCCTGACAGCGTGATTTATTGTCACTGACAATCCCGAAAGCGTGATTTATTTCACGGGCAATCCCGACAGCGTGATTTATTGTAATGGACAATCCCGACAGCGGATTTATTGTCACGCACGATCCAGGCAGCGTGGCTTATTGTCAAAGACGATTCATTCAGTGTTAGCTACGGTCACAGACGATTCCCACAGTGTGATTTACCGTCAAGATCGTGACTTACTGTTGCCTGTTGAACACTAACAACTATAGTCAGTCGAGACTGTGATCGTTTTTTCTCCTCCACCAGGTCCGTGTGTGGCTGGAGTTGTGGGTGTCAAGATGCCCAGATACTGCCTGTTTGGAGATACGGTTAACACGGCTTCTAGGATGGAGTCCAACAGTCAGCGTGAGTGTGCTTCAACTGATGGTACCAGTAGAAGTAGACGGGTAGATCGGGGTGTTGTAAGCACCATGAATAGTTGAACAAGCGGAAAGTTATCTTAGAACAAGGGAAAGTTGAACATTTTAAAGTTTATGTTAAAACCATTGAATTTTGATGTCGGCACCATAAACAAAAAGTTAATGTTAGCACTATTGAAATTTGCGGTGCTAACTGCATGGCAGATAATGTTAGCACTCCAGAAAGTTGACTGAGCACCATTGAAATTGATAGTAGCAATATGTTATTTTGATGTTAACAGTACGGGTAGTTGAGTTACACCATAAAGCGTGGGTGTTATAGGCTATGTTAACATCAAAGAGAGTTGACATTTGCACTATGGAGATGTGATGTTTGCAGCAGTGTTGCCACTTTTCTTTGACAAAAAACAGCCAAAACAGAGTCAAAAAATATATAATAACATCTAAATTGCGTGGAAAACATCTAGAAAAAACATCTAGATGGAATGAGTCACAAATTACATAGCAATTGATATGACTTACCCTACAGAATAATGTCCTTATCTTTACTGAAGTCTGTCTTACAAGATCCACAGGATAAACTTAGCTTGGATGATGAAGTTGAAGCTTTAGATTCAAAATGACTCTGGTATGCTTTTGCTGTTCCAATTTAATTTAATAACCAATCAGGGAGCTGATAAGTGGAACAGCCTTTCCCTACTCTTATCAGGCCGGATTTTATTGTCAATATAGCATTTAAGAGGTCAAATGTCATCCTGTTTCTTGGGTTAGATTTGATAAATTCACTCCAAATGGAAAACATCTATGAAAACATCTACCATTTAAACATCAAAAACGCCATCTAAATTCAAGGGAAAACATCTAAATCTGAATGTAAAACATCAAAAGTGGCAACACTAGTTTGCAGCATGGGATTTGATGTCGGTAACACACAAAGTGTTGAATAATAGAAAGTTTAAAGTAGCGCAACAAACTGTTGAGCAACAGAAAGTTTGTGTTGGCAACTTAAAAAGTTGTTTGCACTATAGATTGTTCTTCTTCTTCTTCTTTACGTCGTCTTTCACCATTTCAGGTGTCGATTGAGATATAAGGTCCTGATTCGTGTTTTTATGGCTGCCTTAACCATCGTGGTACTGTAGAGTTTATCTGATATTGTCTTCCCATCTTGTTCTTGGTCTACCTCTCGTTCTACGTCCCTTTCCTCTTTTGGTGAATGCCTTGTATGGTATATCATCAGGAGGCATTCGCTCCAAGTGGGCACACCATTTGATTTGCTGTCTATGTATGTAATTTAAGCACTAAAAAAATTGCTGTTAGCACCGAGGATGATGTTACAATATAAAATTGACACTACCACCATACACAGTTGGTGTAAGCACTACCGGATTTTATTATTAGCACCAAGGATTGTTGAATAATAGAAAGTTGACTCAAGCATAATACAAAGTTCATGTAAACATTTAGAAAATAGATATGAGCACCAAGTATGGTTCAACAATAGAAAATTTAGATTAGCACCATACAAAGTTGATGTAAACATTTAGAAAATAAATATGAGCACCAAGTATGGTTCAACAATAGAAAATTTACGTTAGCACCATACGAAGTTGATGTAAACATTTAGATAATAGATATGAGCACCAAGTATGGTTCAACGATAGAAAGTTTACGTTAGCACCATACAAAGTTGATGTAAAGATTTAGAAAATAGATATGAGCACCAAGTATGGTTCAACGATAGAAAGTTTACGTTAGCACCATACAAATTTGATGTAAACATTTAGAGAATAGATATGAGCACCAAGTATGGTTCAACAATAGAAAATTTACGTTAGCACCATACAAAGTTGTTGTAAACATATAGAAAATAGATATGAACACCAGGTATGGTTCAACAATAGAAAATTTAAGTTAGCACCTTACAAAGTTGATGTAAACATTGAGAAAATAGATATGAGCACCAAGTATGGTTCAACATTAGAAAATTTACGTTAGCACCATACAAAGTTGATGTAAACATTTAGAAAATATATATGAGCACCAAGTATGGTTCAACAATAGAAAGTTTACGTTAGCACCATACAAATTTGATGTAAACATTTAGAGAATAGATATGAGCACCAAGTATGGTTCAACAATAGAAAGTTTACGTTAGCACCATACAAAGTTGATGTAAACATTTAGAAAATAGATAAGAGCATCAAGTATGGGTGAATAATAGAAAGCTGACACTAGCACCATATACAGTTGAGGTGAACACTGTGGAAATTTTATGTTAGCGCTACGGACTGTTGATGTTGGTACTATAAAGTAAATAGTCGTGACATGGTGGTAACTAGCTGTTGATTTTTGTTTTAAATGCGACGTTTGTTGTCTTGTCTTCTATATTATTTCTTTACGTTACATACTTTATAACAAATGTTTGTCCCCTCTTGTGATGTTAAACTCATATTAACACATGTGTATTGTGGCTGGTACTGTTAAACCTGTAATAATTGGAGTAGGTAAATTTGTGTGATGTTAAACCTATAGCCTTTTCTTATGATCCATAATAACACATGCCTGGTCTTTATTTTGATATTTAATGCATAATAACAAATGCCTTGTCTTTATTTTGATTTTTAATGCATAATAACAAATATCCGTTCTGTTTTGTGATGTTAAACTTTCTTCAGGAATTTCTATCCTATCTTGTCAGTTTAACCCCAAAACTAATGTCTGGTCCTTGTGAAGTTGAGCCTATAGCAAAGAATCTCTGTATTCTCTTGTGATGTCAAACCCGTAATAAAGAAAGTATGTCCATTCTTGGTACGTTAAACAAGTGTCTGTACCTACCTGTGATGTTAAACCCATAATAACAAGTGTATGTACCTACCTGTTATGTTAAACCCATAATAACAAGTGTGTGTAATTTCTTGTGAATTTAAACTCATAGTAACAAGTGTTAGTACTTTGTTGGATGTTAAACCTACAATATTAAATATGTGCTTCCTCTGTATTACACAGCAATGAAGATACACTGCAGCAAGGATATCTCTATGATGTTACTGAAAGATGGACTTTACAAGCTGGAAAGCCGCGGAGAGATTGAAATCAAAGTACCAATTGCCATCTCCATCTTTCTCTTCCCCTCTTTCTCTATCCCTCACTCTTTCTCTGTCTCTCACTTTCTCTCTCATCCACCCCCCCCCCCACGTATATATACACACACACATACACAAACAATATATTTTTTCCTGACAGAGTTAGTGATAGAAGTGGAGGAGGTATTCTAGACTGTACATGGACAGAGTTTCTGAGATATGCATAGACAGAAAGTATCTGAGATATGAACGGATAGAGAGTATCTGATATTTACATAGATAGGGAGTATCTGAGGTATACATGGACAGAGAGATGGGAAATATACATAGTCAAAGATTATCTGAGATATTCATGACCAGAAAGTATCTGAGATATGCATAGACAGAGCGTATCTGATATATACATGGCCAAAGAGCGTCCAAGATATACATGGCCAGAGTGTATATGAGATATACATGACCAGAGGATGTTTGAGATATACATGGACAAAGAGTAACTGATATTTACATGGACATAGAGTAGAAATACATGACAAGAGTGTCTGAGATATGCATGGGCAGAGAGTATCCGAGATTTATATGAACTGAGAGTACCTGAGATATACAGGGAGAAAGTTCTTGAAATGCTTGGACAGATGGCGTGAAATATATCTTTTTGTGTAATATGTAGGCTGGTGAGATGGGATTTTGTATAATACGAGGCGGGTAAGATGGGATTTTGTGTAATTTGTTGGCGGGTGAGATGGGATTTTGTATAATACGAGGCGGGTAAGATGGGATTATGTGTAATTTGTTGGCGGGTGAGATGGGATTTTTTATAATACGAGGCGGGTAAGATGGGATTTTGTGTAATTTGTTGGCGGGTGAGATGGGATTTTGTGTAATACAAGGCGGGTAAGATAGGATTTTGTGTAATTTGCTGGCGGGTGAGATGGGATTTTTTTTTAACATGCTGGCGGGTGAGATGGGATTTCGTGTAATTTGCTGGTGGGTGAGATGGGATTTTGTTTAACATGCTGGCGGGTGAGAAAGGATTTTGTTTAACATGCTGGCGGGTGAGAAAGGATTTTGTTTAACATGCTGGCGGGTGAGAAAGGATTTTGTTTAACATGCTGGCGGGTGAGAAAGGATTTTGTTTAACATGCTGGCGGGTGAGATAGGATTTTGTTTAACAGGCTGGCGGGTGAGATAGGATTTTGTTTAACATGCTGGCGGATGAGATAGGATTTTGTTTAACATGCTGGCGGGTGAGGTCGGAGTTTGTTTAACATGCTGGCGGGTGAGATGGGAGTTTGTGAAACCTGTTGGCATGTCAGATGTGATTTTGTGTAACATGTTGGCGTATGAGATGCAATTATGTGTAATTAGCGTGATGGGATTACATGTGTAATAATGTCAGAGAAACTTTCATACATTCTCTTCTCGTTTTTTTCAACCAGGGAAAAGGAAAAATGGAGACCTACTGGCTGATTGGCCGCAGTGACATGGGAGAATGCAATGACAGCATGACATGTCTGTGGCGACCAAAGAAGAAGCCAAAGCCAGCAGCAGCTCCTGTCCTGAGTGCTGTTCCAGAGAGCGTTGCACCTGTTCCACTCAACGCTGCTCCAGAGAACAATGCACCTGTTGCTGATAGGCTAGTTCCAGAAGGCAGTGTAGCTGTTCCCGCCAGTGCTCTGCCAGGGGACATTGTGATGTCAGCCCAGTCAGGCTCTGATACATTAGACATGTTCAAAGACCAGCTGGTCCCAGATACACGAGACACGTCAGGGGCGGCGGTTGGTCCTGCGATTGTTACTAATCTCCAGATAACTTCACAAGAGCCTGCCAGCGTAGAATTTGTCCACAACGCACCCGACCAGACCAGCGCAGATAGAGAAATAGCGCCTGTAGACACAAACGTTGAGGTCATCAGTCCATGTGTCACTGACACTGACAGTCATCATCTGACTTCAGCGCAGGAGACAGAAAAACCCCAGCAGATTTCTGCCTGGGTAGAGAAGGAAGACAGCCATTCACCCATTGTTCCAGATCAAAGACCTGACAGAGGTGATCTCTCGGCTGTGCAGACCAAAGCAAGTGTGTGTGTTCAGGTGAGCGACGAATGCAACCTTCATGTCGTTGCCAGTCACCCTGCAGTAGACAATAACTTTAGCCTCACAGTTACACATGCTGGAGAAGAAAGTCTTGTCGATCAAGCTCATAACCTTGGAGATGAGAATACATTATCAGAACAAATAGATGATTTACACCTGCTGCAGGACCCCGAGCAGGCACTAACACTGACGGGAGAACTTCTGGTAGAACCGACATCACAGCAACAACCTAAGGCTTCTTCTGTTACCCATCACCATTCCCCCATTGTAAAGTCAAAATCATCATCGTTATCATCGTCTAACAATCATGACATTTGTTGCCCTAGTCCACAAGAGCCACCTCCAAATCACCCTTCCCACGAAACTACAGTAGAGGGAAAAGGAACACAATCTCAACAGTCAACGAACCAAGCACGCATGGATGTCAGACAGGATACCGGAAATGCAATGTTCGATCAGAAAAATCCTTCCTATGCAAGATCCAAAACAAATATCCCTATAACTGCACAACATTCAAGACCAGCGCGTCAGAATATTACTATTAGTTCTAGTCTACACAAAACCACATGACACTAGTTCTAGTCTACACAAAACCACATGACACTAGTTCTAGCCTAAACAAAACCACATGACACTAGTTCTAGCCTACACAAGACTACGTGATACTAGTTCGAGCTTATACAATACCATGTGGCACTAGTTCTAGCCTACACAAGACTACGTGATACTAGTTCTAGCCTACACAAGACTACGTGATACTAGTTCTAGCCTACACAAGACTACGTGATACTAGTTCTAGCCTACACAAGACTACGTGATACTAGTTCTAGCCTACACAAGACTACGTGATATTAGTTCTAGTCTACACAAAACCACATGACACTAGTTCTAGCCTACACAAAACCACATGACACTAGTTCTTTTCTACACAAAACCACATGACACTAGTTATAGTCTACACAAAACCACATGACACTAGTTCTTGTCTACAAAAAACCACATGACACTAGTTCTAGTCTACACAAAACCACATGACACTAGTTCTAGTCTACACAAAACCACATGAAACTAGTTCTAGCCTACACAAAACTACGTGATACTAGTTTTAGCCTACACAAGACTACGTGATACTAGTTCTAGCTTATACAATACCATGTGGCACTAGTTCTAGCCTACACAAGACTACGTGATCCTAGTTCTAGCCTATACAAGACTACGTGATTCTAGTTCTGGTCTACACAAAACCACATGACACTAGTTCTAGCTTAGACAATACCATGTGGCACTAGTCCTAGCCTATAGAAGACTACGTGATACTAGTTCTAGCCTACACAAGACTACGTGATACTAGTTCTAGTCCATACAATACCACGTGACACTAGTTCTAGCCTTTAGAAGACTACGTGACACTAGTTATAGCCTACACAAGACTACCTGACACTAGTCCTAGCCTACACAAGACTACGTGATACTAATTCTAGCTTATACAATACCATGTGACACTAGTTCTAGCCTTTAGAAGACTACGTGACACTAGTTATAGCCTACACAAGACTATGTGATTCTAGTTCTAGCCTACACAATACTATATGTCACTAGTTATAGCCTACACTGAACTACCTGACACTAGTTCTAGCCTACACACGACTACTTGATACAAATTTTAGCTTATACAATACCATGTGACAGTAGTTCTAGCCTACACAAGACTACGCGACACTAGTTATAGTCTAAACTGAATTACATGACACGAGTTCTAGCCTAAACAAGACTACGTGGCATTACTTCTTGTTCCCACAGGATTACGTCACGTTATTTCTAGCCAACCCAAGACTACGTGAAACTAGTTTTAGCCTACACATGAGTACGTTATAACACACACCAAATGTTTGATACACGATTTCTACACCAACCATATGTTTAATTCATGATTCCTACATCCAATGTATGTTTGATACATGAACCGTTACTAAACGTCAAGTTTGATACTTATATTTTTACACCATTTTGCTACAATCGATTTGTCTCTATCATTAAACAATTTTGTTTCAGTTGTGACAATACCATTACAATCTTTGTTACAATTATAGCTATTTCAAATTGTTACAGTTACGTCTATATTATACACCATATTGTTACATTTATGTCTATATTATTCGCTAAAATGTTATAAGTATGTTTATATCATTACACTAACATGTTACAGGCATGTTTATATCGTTATACTATAATGTTACAGTTTTGTTCATATCATGTCGTTATAGTTATGGTTATATTATATAGTTACAGTTATGGCTATATTATACATCCCATTTTCATATCTGTCTCATTACAGTATGATGTTACAGTTACGTCCATAGGCTACCCTATATTGTTAGAGTTACATCAAGTTCATTACACAAAACAGTTTCATTAAATCTATGTTATTACACCATATAGTGACAGTCACTACATCTATATCACTACCCCATTTTGTTTTGATTAGGTCTATATGATCACAACATTATGTTACAGTTACGCGTGTTCCTCTTTCCCATATTGTTACAGTTATGTATATATCATTGCCCCATATTGTTAGATTATTGTCTATACGATTGCAGCATATTCTTACATTTATGTCCGTTTCATTATATCTCAATATTTTAGTTATGTCTATGTCATTATACTATAAGGTTACAGTTATGTCTCTGTCATTTTAATTAGGACTATATTGGTAACCCTTATTGTTACAGCTATGTCTATATCATTGCATGGTATTGTTACAGTTATGTAAATTTCATTACACCATAATGTTACAGTTTTATGTCTATATCTTTACATCATATTGTTACAGTTATTCTACATTACTGCACTATAATATGACAGCTATTTGTATATTTTCACATCCTATTGTTACGATTATACCTATATCATAACACCATACTCTTACAGTTATGTCTATTTCATTATCCAAATTGTTTCAGCTATGTCTATATCATACACCATAGTTTTAAAGCTGTAATGTCTGTAGTCTATATCCTACACAATATTGTTACAGTAGTTGATGTCTATAACATGCACCACATTGTTACTTTTTTAATGTCCAGGTGTCGTGTCTATATTATAGGATATCTAGGTACAGTTCTCTCGCCTCCTGTGTTTTGTGGAACCAACAACGCTGATGCGACAGCTGCCGCCATGTCTGAATTCATCAGATATACGCACAAATATGTTCTAATGTGATAAACAAACCCACAACCGTTCTCGTGACACGCCGCTCATAAAGGCTGTCGAAACTAGGGTCTGATTGACTGGACACAAGTTGATAACTAGGGGCTGGTTGATTGGCCACAAGTTGATAACTAGGGGTGGCTAAATGGACACAGGTTGATAACTAGGGGGTGGCTGACTGGACACAGGCTGTTAACTGGGGGGTGGCTGACTGGACACAGGTTGATAACTAGGGGCTGGCTGATTGGACACAGGTTGATAACTAGGGGGTGGCTGATTGGACACAGGTTGATAACTAGGGGGTGGCTGATTGGACACAGGTTGATAACTAGGGGCTGGCTAAATGGACACAGGTTGATAACTAGAGGGTGGCTTATTGGACACAGGTTGATAACTAGGCGGTGGCTGATTGGACACAGTATTTTAACTAGGGGGTGGCTGATTGGACACAGGTTGTTAACTAGGAGGTGGCTAAATGGAGACAGGTTGATAATTAGGGGGTGGCTGACTTGACACAAGTTGATAACTATGGGCTGGCTGACTGGACAAAAGTTGTTTACTATGGGCTGGATGACTGGAAAAAAGTTGTTAACTATGGGCTGGCTGACTGGAAACAAGTTGTTAACTATGGGCTGGATGACTGGAAACAAGTTGTTAACTAGGGGCTGGATGACTGGAGACAAGTTGTTAACTAGGGGCTGGATTACTGGAAACAGGTTGTTAACTAGGGGCTGGGTGACTGGAAACAAGTTGTTAACTATGGGCTTGATGACTGGACACAAGTTGATAACTATGGGCTGGCTGACTTGAGACAAGTTGTTAACTAAGGGCTGGATGACTGGAAACAAGTTGTTAACTAGGGGCTGGATGACTGGAAACAAGTTGATTACTATGGGCTGTCTGACTGGACACAAGTTGATAACTAGGGGCTGGATGACTGGAAACAAGTTGTTAACTAGGGGCTGGATGACTGGAAACAAGTTGATAACTATGGACTGGATGACTGGAAACAAGTTGATAACTATGGGCTGTCTGACTGGACACAAGTTGATAACTAGGGGCTGGATGACTGGAAACAAGTTGTTAACTAGGGGCTGGATGACTGGAAACAAGTTGATAACTATGGGCTGGCTGACTGGAAACAAGTTGAAAACTATGGGCTGTCTGACTGGACTCAAGTTGATAACTAGGGACTGGCTGACTTGACACAATTTGATAACTATGGGATGTCCGGCTGGCTGGACACAAGATGATAACTATGGGCTGGATGACTGGATACAAGTTGATAACTAGGGGCTGGCTGGTGCCTCATTTAAAGAGTAACTTGACACGAGATAACAACTTCCTAATAGTTCTAGCTTTCTTCTTTTCTCACTCTCTCTTTGTCTTTCTCGCTGTGTCTCTTTCTCCTTCTCCCTTGTTCTAGCTTTCACACTGTCTCTTTCCTTCTAGCTTCTCACGCTTTATTTGTGTCTCCCTCGTTCTAGTTCTCACTCTCCATTCATCTCGTTTTGGCTCTCACTATCTCTCTTAGTTTCTTTAATTCTAGCTCTTCCTTTTATCTCTCTCGTCATAGCTTCCCCCTCCTTATGTATCTCTCTACCTCTTTTTGACCTTCTAGTATCTCAGTCTGTGTGTGTGTGTGTGTTTCTCGAATTCTTGTCACAAGCTGCCTCTCTATTACTCTGCCTTCTCTCTGTCTCTCTAGTTCTAATTTCCCAAACCCTCGACCACTGTCTCGTGTGTTTTAGCTCCTCACTCCCTCTCTCTATGTTTTTGTATTTTTTACTCTTTACTGATGCTATCACATTTTCATATAGGAGGTTAATATACTTGATATGCAAAATACAGTTTCCGTGTGAAAGATGTTTGAAATGGCCGAATGCGGGACGGGCCTGCCGGCCTTATTTGTGACCCTTTGGAAATAAAGCTCGTTTCTTGGATCGGTTTTTTTTTTTTTCGTTCTGTGTCTTTCTTGTTCTGACATCTCAGTTTTTCTCTGTTTGTATGTCTGTCTGTCTGATGTCTGTTTGTCTGTCTGTTTCTTTATTTCTCTCTCTCTCTCTCTCTCTCTGTTTCTCTCTGTGTTTCTCTCTCTCTCTCTCTCTCTCTCTCTCTCTCTCTCTCTCTCTCTCTCTCTCTCTCTCTCTCTCTCTCTCTCTCTCTCTTTGTATCTAGCTCCCCTATAATATAAGCTCATTCTCTATGTTTTACTGCACTCTGTGTGTATCTTTCTCTTAGTCAGACTACGCTGATTGTACCTCTGTACCTCTTTTTCACTCTGCCTGTTTTGTTTTTTGTTCTTACCCCTGTCTTTGTCTATTGTTCTAACTTCCCTCTCTGTGTTTGTCTTGATCTAACTCCACTGTCTGTCTGTCTGTCTGTCTGTCTGTCTGTCTGTCTGTCTGTCTGTCTGTCTGTCTGTCTGTCTGTCTGTCTGTCTGCCTGCCTGCCTGCCTGCCTGCCTGCCTGCCTGCCTGTCTGCCTGCCTGTCTGTCTGTCTGTCTGTCTGTCTGTCTGTCTGTCTGTCTGTCTGTCTGTCTGCCTGCCTGCCTCTCTCTCTCTCTCTCTCTCTCTCTCTCTCTCTCTCTCTCTCTCTCTCTTTCTGTTATTGATCTCTATCTCTCCCTCTTTCCGAATAAGCAGTCCCTAGGAATCCCAGTGATAATCTCAATTCTAGTTTGTTTAGAGACAAAACATAAGCGTGAACTTTGACCTCATCTCCCGCGGACTTGCTCTATGTTTCCCCGTGTGGGTTCCAGGGCCCTGTTGTGGAGGAAGGGAACAGACTCACTGGCTTCATAACAAAAGAACCGACTAGCTTGGGGTTTCTCTCGAGACTGGAGAGGCACGGAAGCAACTGTCTGCATACAAATAAGCCATATCTGTAGCACGGAACCAACGGTCTGCATACAAATAAGCCAGATCTGTAGCACGGAACCAAGTCTGCATACAAATAAGCCAGATCTGTAGCACGGAACCAACTGTTTGCATGCAAATAAGCCAGATCTGTAGGGGGCTGAGTGGTCTCGAAGTATGGCGTCCGCCTCGAGTGCTGGATGTCTCGGGCACAGGTTCCGGTTAAGGTTGCGATTTTTTTCAGGCTGACTTTTAGTAATTTTCCCGTGTCTCTGGGTAGTAAGATGGGGCACCCGTGTGTATTGTATGGCACGTAAAAAATCCTTTGGCAGTTGGAAATCAAAAAGAGTAACACAACGGTGCTGCTCAGAGTTAAAAATCTACCCATACTATTTCAGGATCCTCACCGGATATATGGTGTTCGTGCACTGCCTTGAGATTCTACGGACTCAGGCTTGAGTTAGAAGTAGAACGGAACACTTATGCGTTACTACACTTGTGCCATAATGTTGATCTGTTTGTATAAACAATAAACCAGATCTGTAAAACGGATATGCTCGCAATATTCTAGTTCTGAAGCAATATTGCAGTCTATTAGTGGACGAACAACTAAAACCTTCCGTTGGAGTTCACAACCGGCGAACGCGAAAAAGAAGAAGAAGTTGCTTTCGTTGAGAGTGTTTCTTTTCTATACAATCAGGAGATAAACTAAAACCAACAGAGACCTTGGTCGCCGTGGCTTTTGCGGCTAGACGCCCGCCTGCGGATCGGAAGGTCGTGGGTTTGCGGCCCGACGGAGCTGGACTTTTTTTTTCAAAAATGACCTTAACTCCCAGTCGACCCAGCCTTGAGTGGGCACCATGTGCAGTCCTGGGAAGTAAAGGCGGTCTGTGTGGTGCTGACCACATTACCTACCAAGTGCTGATTGGTCTATAAAAATATAGGTCTAGCCACGTTAGACTTTAGCTATTAATAGTCCATACAGCTCAACGGGAGTTCCCGTTTTTGTGCAAGTTCAGGGGCCGCTCTGTGTTCAGTTTTTTTTTTTTTTTTTTTGAGGATATGTATACACGAAATAAACTACAGTTTAATTAATTTGCAACATCTTTTATTAAATTATATGTCATTTTAAAGGTAAATAAGTGTGCTATTAAAATATAACAATAAACGCTCTAACAAACAAACAAAAATGCTTTTGCTACAGCCAACCTGAACATAAACATCAATAATGTGTATAAATTAACTGGAAGTTATTCTAGCAAGAGTAAAGAAATATTGGTGCTAACTCTTTGATTCTGAGGTCGTATTGCATTAGAGGACCAAAGAGGGGTGGGGGGGGGGGAGTGAATGACATTTGTACTTTATCAAATTAGGCAAATGAAAATACTGCTGTGAAACATACACATGTCGTATAAAACATGGATATAAATGATTGATGGTTATTACTATTAGTAGACTACTACAAAATATAATTATACTATTAGGTTATAATTAGTAAACTAGCAGCTGACTTGCTCAAAAAGTTTAGTAAAATATAAACAGATTTTTTTTTAATGCACAGTCAATATGAAATTGATATGCGCAATAATATATGCACTACTAAATATTTATCCTCAAGATATAAACAGCACGAACAAATTTGTCCAGTTTCATCTTGTTGGATAAAATCAATACAATATCATTGTGAATTTTTTGGTAACTGTTAAAAAATACATCACACATATTTCTGAATACTGCATGCAACAACACGTATAAGTATCATGAATGGTATAATATTTTAAAGGTAAGTGAAGCACATTAGAACAGACCATACAACTGCAAATTCTGTGCAACATACACATATCAAACACAAACAATTCACCATGTAGCTACCAGATCTCGTTGTGAAAAAAAAAAAAAGGAGACAAGAAAAGACGTGCCGCCTCCTCAACGAGCATGTAGTAAAAGTGGAATCATTGTAGCTTCCTTCGAAGTCGGAATGTTTTTGCCTGAAAGGCAAGAAACAACAGTCTGCATACAATTAAGTCACATCTGTATAAGATATGTGCATGCAACAAACAGTGTCTGGAACCAGACTAAAGCCCAGAAGTAGATGAACAACCAGAAGATTCTACCACAGTATACAGCCAGTGATCGCGAAGCAGATGATGATTCACAAAAATGAACACAAATGGTTAAGGAATAATATTAGTACACTGCTTCACCATATAATTATACTGTAAATTATTAATTAGTAAAGAGGCAAGTGACTTTCTGTGAGAGGTTAGTTAGTGAATTATGAAGATTTTTTTCCTCTTACTCAGAGACTGTTCGAAATAATCTTGATATAGTGTATCCACAAAGAAGGTGCTCCACTTATAATGAGTATGTGCAGTCAGTATGAAAGCCATAGTTTTTTCTTCCAGAGCAGTTTTTATAACAATATTATAGACTACTCAATATTTCTTCTCTGTATTTTATAAAAGTCAAGATGTTCATAGACATACATGTATGTTTTTAGATGAGAGAGCCCCAAAATCAGTGTTTACAGAAGAAATTTAATTTAGATTTGTCCAGTTACTAATTGTTACAGGAAATCAGTTCCTTGTCAGTGTAAATTTTTTCGAATTAAAAAAAAAAAATACATGACACAGACAGTACTGTCTGAGATAGATGCTACATGCAAAACTTCTGCTGGTACAGCACGGTCTGAGGTAGATGCTGCATGCTTAACTTCTGCTGGTACAGTACAGTCTGAGGTAGATGCTGCATGCAAAACTTTTGCTGGTACAGTACAGTCTGAGGAAGATGCTACATGCAAAACTTCTGCTGGTACAGTACAGTCTGTGGAAGATGCTACATGCAAAACTTCGGCTGGTACAGTACAGTCTGTGGTAGATGCTACATGCAAAACTTCTGCTGGTACAGTACAGTCTGAGGTAGATGCTACACGCAAAACTTCTGCTGGTACAGTACAGTCTGAGGAAGATGCTGCGTGCAAAACTTTTGCTGGTACAGTACAGTCTGTGGTAGATGCTGCATGCTAAACTTCTGCTGGTACAGTACAGTCTGTGGTAGATGCTGCATGCTAAACTTCTGCTGGTACAGTACAGATTAAGGTGGATGCTGCATGCAAATTTTGCTGGTACAGTACAGTGTAAGGCATAAAGTGGACTTTTAATTCTTTCTACTTCCAAAATTTGTTACACCGACACAAGATAGTTTGCACCTGACATTTGTAGATATTCTCCAGATCTGGCTTCTAAATTTGTAGTTTCCCCAAAAGTTAGATTTCCACATTTAAAGTAGAAAAAGAATAGTCAGCCAGTTAAAAAATCCAGACTACTGACTAGACTAGACACAGACATCACAACACGACTATCTCCCGTGAATTGAAATTTAAATTGCAGTAATCTAACACAGCAAAGTTTGAAAATCGTGTATATCCACTTTACTTCTTCTTCGTTCGTTGGGTGTGAATTCCGGAGGAAGGTCCCGGTTAATCGTCTGCTTGAACTTTTGGATTTTACCTGGACCTGAGTTTTGCGTGTACAACTGTTTTACTGGCTTATGCCGTTCTCTTTCTCACGGGCAGATGTACTCCGACTTCGAGGGAAGACGTTAGTCTTATTTCTGGGATGACTGTGGCCATTGTTTTGTGTGGGTCGAGATGTTACCTTATTTGTGTGGTGTTCTCTTTGTCCCTTTCTCCACAGGTGTTGACCCCGGAGTACCCCCTTTGGGGCAGCCCTGTGTGGAACGGTTGGCCCTCAAGGGAAGGCAGGGACCGATCATGAGCATTCCCCGTCATCCAAGGAGGCTTCCATAAATGCAGAGCCGTCACATAACGCTCTGGAATCGTCACGTCCTGCACATAATTTAACCTCACAACCGTATTAGGCTTCCCGCTTGACACGGGCTGCGCCCTCCAGAGATCAGCGTGGAGCAGCCCATGGGTTCTGGACTTTTGTGACCACACGAATAGGTACAATCTTTTTCGTCGCACGACTGTCATCTTTAGCTTGCTGTTAGCACGACAGAATGGAGAATCATGCGTCAGGCGTGTTTTTATCTGTTTGGTCCCAACACTCGGGCAAGTGGGGGTCTCGGGATGTAGACATTTGGACTTTTTCCAGTCAATACGATTTGTGATGGTTGATTTTGAGCTTGCTCGTGTGCCGTAGGATCTATTTTTGTCAGACATTTGGACTTAACCAGCTGATGGATGGCTGCTGTCTTGGTGTACCTCAGCCCGGTGGCGACGACACTGAGGTTTGACAGAGGATGTACATGGGTAGAATCGTGCTGCGAGACGCCACCCACAGGAGATGTTACTCGTCTGTGCTGCGGGTAAATCTCTAGGTAAAGGGTTGAGTCTCAGCAACACATTCTCTTCACCGCACAAACTTTTAACCGAAGTTTGTCATTTTAGTTGTACTTTTGGCAAGCACTTTACTCATGTTCCTAATGAGTTTTGATAAGGTTTTTTCACCCATGCGTTTGGGGGCGGGCTGATAAGAGCCACAAGGACAATACACCTCTGGGGGCCGCTAACTGTGAGATCCCCTGACAGCTCTGTTAATACTCATTTGAGACATTATCCGTGACGCACGACGAGGACGAGCTGCAGGAGTCTTGCGTGAGGTTCTGTAAAACCAGAACAGTGCAGGACTGGCGCCCGAATGACGTACGGAGTAACTCCTTATACACATCACACTGGACTTAACTTTACCTCACGCCTGTGACAGAAATCACCGCGCCACGTATATCCACTTTACAATATCCGCTTGTCGATTTGTAGTACGAATGCATTCAGAACACATAACTTTGTAGGCACAGTAAAATGCCACAAAAAAGCAACACATGGCCGGCTCCAACTACACACCAATCGTCGGCCCCTGTGCTATAATGTCAAGCGATTAGCTGTAGGCCTTACTGCTCGAGCCCGGACGTGATCTAGCTCTGTATTCCCAATACGCCTAAAGGCGTCTATGGTTGTTAAAACCGTGACGTGTGAATTTATGGGTATGTATGTAAGTATGTACTTTGCTATGTCACCTGGTCTGTTTTGTCAGCCATCATCTCCTCTGCCTTTCTAACCCCCAATGGAGAATAGACCCTCAACCTAAGCAAGCTAAGTAGTTCTATCCTTTGCTATCGCATGTCTTTCCCCTTTTTTTTTAAACTTCCCTCTCTAGCTCCCTTCTCGGTGTGTTTTTTCATCTTTTTTACTTCTGCCCCTGTGGGTTCCAGTGCTAAGACACTGTAGTTATACTGTTCTCAGGTTATCTCAACGTGTGTCCTTTCCAACACCAGCGTCTTTTCTTCACTTCCTGGTTCACTGGAACTTGTTTAGTTCTCTCCCAAAGCTCTACATGAGTGATTCTATCATACCGTTTAATTTCCTCTCTTCTCCACAGGCAGCAGTTAATGAATGTTTGTAGTTTATTAGTAATTGCCTTAGTTCTCCATGTTTCCGCTCCATAAAGCAGTATTGATTTGATATTAGAATCACGCGTCATGCTCGTGCATAAATGTACGTTAATCTGTCATATTAAACTTGTGTAAATATGTACTTGTCATATGTTATATTAAACGTGTGTGGGTGTGTGTGTGTATATATATATATATATATATATATATATATATATATATATATATATATATATATATATATATATACACGTTGTTATCTGTCATGATTAACCTGTGTAAATATGTACTTGTTATGGGCTAAGATTGTGTGTGTGTGTGTG